TTATAACACAAGAGATATTATGGTACCAAAGGGGTCATTTCTATTATAATCATTATTTGAAAAACACAGAGAAGTATCGTTTTTATACTTTTTATTAGATAGTTTCGAAACCTTTCAATAGGGATGTTAACATTTTGGTCTGGTCCAGTTTGGTCTATTTTGGTCCAGATCTGGTCTGGTCTATTATATTCTTCATTTTTAAGACTTTGTTAATCCAGACCAGTCCAGACTGGTCCGGTCTTAAGACTTAGAGCAGACCAATTTTTTTCGAGTTTAGACCAGTCTTAAGACTAACCGTGGGTTATTAGTCTAAGACCGGACCACATAATATCCCTACCTTTCAAACAGTCATTAACATTCTTTCATTAGATCTTTACTTGACTTTAATAGGGAACAACACTGGCTAGTAACCAGCCTCAAATAGTTCAAGACTAATGGCACATCCGAACTTGATATTTCCAGCCATTGTGGCTTACTTATCCTTTAACACAGAAATAAAAGAAAGTACAAATTAAGAAATTATGGAAATTTTTATTAAATTTCCATTTCGGGTCTAACATTTTAAAAAAACACTTAAGAAAAACTGCATTTAAAGAGATTATACTTAGGTCAGAATTTAAAGTTGTATTTATAGAAAAGTTGCACTTAGAGGGATGCATTTAGAAAGAGTTGGCTATTTTTCAAAAGAAGAATATATAGCAATAGTTTACGAGAGATTTCGTAACAAATTTCCTGATTTTCTTCGATTTTTACTAACGTAATTTTTCGACTTTACATACGCCTGAAGTCACAATTCCAGGCGAAAGACAACTTAAAGAATGATATACATGTATGCAATTGACCAATTTTAATCTTCGATAAACCTCAGACCAGACGGTCAAATTGGCCAAGATTGATCTATTATAGCTATGTACAACATAGTGAATATTGCTTAAAATACAGCTGATAATTTTTGAATTTATTACATAAAAATAATATAGTCTTACAAAGTTATATTGATAATACAACAAGGTTTTTATACAATATCATATCATTATTTAATAAATAATGATTTTTCAAAAATTTTCAAACTATAACGTTTATGATAAAAAAAAGATTCATAGAATCTTTGACCAAAGCTCCACATCAAGTTATATTTATCTTTATAAAAATTTAAGTTTTTTTCTTCATGAACTTTCCTTTATGTCCCTTAGTCATCCCTCTAATATCCGTGATGTTTCTTATGTTTATAGTGATTATCCCTCTTCTGTTCTTCGTAATCAAGCTCGTCATGTCCAAGATCCCTCTTATATCCATGATGTTTCTTATGTTTATAGTGATTATCCCTCTTCTGTTCTTCGTAATCAAGTTCGTCATGTCCAAAATCCCTCTTATACCCATGATGTTTCTTATGTTTATAGTGATTATCCCTCTTCTGTTCTTCGTTATCAAGTTCGTCATGTCCAAGATCCCTCTTATACCCATGATGTTTCTTATGTTTATAG